GATGCGGTGAAGAGCCCGTCGTGCCTGCCGTCAGGAAACACGACCGAACACGACCATTTTCGAGCCGGCTCCTCTCCCCAACAGGAAGCGTTAAAGATAGAACAGCCGGGGCTGGGCGGGGGAGATTAGGAAGCCGAGCATCTTCTGTGTGCCGGGAGCCGCCGCGTGAACGCTCCCGCCCACCGTGGGTGGGAGCCGTGACCGAGGGCAACCCACCCATGGCCGGGAGTCCGGTAGTGGGGGGGTAACAGGGACCCTTTCCCCACCGTGGGTGGGCTTCCCCGTTGCCCCGAAAGACCCAAGGGTGAAAAGACCCTCACAGGGCAAAGAGGTAGGAAGCAGCAAAATTATCCAGAATAAAAAGGTCAGTGATGCTTCAAGCAGGCCCAAGACCCTTTGAGCAAGCACTATAAATATATTCCTTTAATTATAATAAAAGATGGCTAGAAAGGGAAGAATAAAAAAAACCCCATCAAAACCAAACCAGACCACACAAATGCACCCCACCAGTAAAGTCTTAAACCACGCAGCCTGTCCACACATCAACATCCGGGCAGGCTCTGCAGCCAGCACCCGAGTTTGTTCAGTGCTGCTCAGGTAACAAAGCTGGGCATGGCTTTCCCACTATTTTTGACTTCAAGCTGCAATAGATGCTCCAGGAAATAAAACCAGGCATCTTAGACTTACCCAGCACTGGACTGTGAAAGGAAAAGACGGCTTTAGGGAAGGATGGTTTTTTGTTGCTTTCATCAAGTAAATTAATGCTTTGCTTGCTCAGAGGTCGCTGGTCCAGGATTATATGATTTGTGTGACTTAATTTAACACCACACCCTTGTCCTGAGCTGTGTGCAAGCAGTTTGGCTTTTGTTTCCAAATTTTTTCTAGCCAACATTTGAAGAAAGTCTTTAAACTATTAACCGATACAACTGTCATCTTCCTGCGTTTCCAGACATTTTACAATAGGAAACAAAGAACAAAACCCTACAACAATAGCTCAGAGGTATGAATTGCCTCATTCATCTCACTGGAATGTTCAAAAACATTAACTGTTTTTTGACTGATTCAGCAGAAAACACGCTGCCGGATCATAAGCTTTCGCCTGATGCAGGGGAGATCCAGGGACTGAGAAAGGTTTTATTTTCCAGCACAGCAAAGCAGCACCTTTCCTGACAGGAAGTGAATACTCCTGTTGATGGAAGAGACTGCGTGAGAGGAGGATTCTGACCCGGCTTGAGGGAGCTGCTGCCTTCCTCTTGCCGTGCCACAAGGGCCCACAAGGGTGGTAGATACTGGAAAAGGCTATCGTGGCGTTGTAATAAATTAATTAGCAATTAGTGCCCACTCAAACCTACTGTGAACTCGAAGTGCAGCCCTTTGGCTCTGAAGGGGAAATGCACAGGGCTTCAGCTTGGGGGGGAGGAATAATTTCTGTTTCAACACTCCTGGAGCAGGAAAGACGAGGTCAGCCCCGTAGGCTGCACTTCTATTGAGCCGGTGCCATCGTTAAAACAAGGTTCGGTCAATTCCCACTAAAACATGTTGAGGTCTGACAGCCAGCGAGAAAACAGATGGCTCGGCTGCCCTCCCGCACCCTCCTCTGTTGGGAATGGTGGGAAGGGGACGAACTGCTGCTTCCAGCACTGGCACCTTGTTTCCAAGACCGAGGGGTTACAGCAGAGCCCAGCTCTGAACCGTGCCCTCCAGGGACATGCCAAAGCAGACAGAGCCGCCACAGCCGGCACTGGGCACCCCGGGGTTGGCTGAACTGCCCGGTCACTGCCTCATGGAGGACGCGGAGGCGTCACAAAATGCACTGGCTGCACCTAAAACCTGAACAGAAGTCACAGTCTGAACAGAAACAGAATCACTGAACGATAAATAACTGAGTCCTGCAGCTGGTGGGTTATTTGCATCACAGCGTTACGGAAAAGGGCTGTTTTGTTAATTGACTGTAACACTCGATGACGGAATATTTATATGTTGATGGAACAAAGCAAATCAATTATATTTACTTACACCATCCCTCAGTATCAGAATTTGTGCAGAGTCCAGCAGCAAGTGCCACCCGCCCGCTTGCAGCCAGCCCTTCTCAACAGCGACAGGGAAGTGGCACGTGTTGTAAACAAAGGCTACAGCAGACTACTGAAGTTTTGGGGTTTTTAATGAAACCTTTGACCTTTATGAGCAATAGGTACTTCTTAAATAAATAGAAAACATTCATTCAGGAAAAAACAAAAAAGTGTGAAAAGTTTAAAAAGTGCACGTTTTTCCAATTTCCTTCCAAGATTTCATGATACAGAGAGTTAACGTGTGCCTTCTGGGCTGAATTCAGAACGATGTTATGCAAAGTAAAGCCACAGTTCTACTTCCCGTCCCACCAGACACAACCCTCATTCCAGGAATCCAACCCTTTCAGCAAGTTTCTAGGAATTAGTGCTTTAGCTGTGCTGCCCCTGCTCTGCCACACACAGTAGCGATGGCTCACAGTTGGCAAACATGTAAAAGCCTTTAAAAAAAAAAAAGTCCACAGGAGAACATTTAAATAAGCATCATTGTTAAAAGCCTGCTAAGGGTACATCCTGGGTCCGAGCCGATACACCTTTCAAATAGTTTAAAATCACGCCTAACTATAATCAAAGTGCACACATACCTCAGTGCTGATCAGCACTGACCCAAAGCAGGCTTGAAAACTCAGTTCTGCAAGTTTTATATGGCTACAACAGCGTGGCCTTGTCAAAGACGGCCTCATCTTTGGGTTCCTGAGGTCTTTCACAGAGAGGTCCCTCTCGATGCGAGACAGTGCTTGCCAGCCACCTCCAGGGATGTTCAGAACAACTTTGGCAACTGCCTGAGTTGTTTCACATCGAGAATGGTACCAACAGAATTCAAGCTGTTCGACTGGTTTAATGGTTCAAGGGCTGGAGTATGCAGATTTCCAGGGAAGACCTGAACATCCCCATTGTCTTTTTGGCCAGGCTGCTTAGTGACTTCAACCCTCCCAGGCAATAATTTGGGTTTTGACTTCAAATCCTTTAAAATCAGACCTGAGTTTTCATCTGCTTGATCTGCTCTGAGAGGAAAAATTTCATTTGTAATATTTTTTAATACAGGGCTGTTTAATTCTGGCGGAGAAGCGCTGGTAGTCAGCTCTCTGCTGTGACTTTTTAGATGAATGGGAAATTTTCCATCAATTCTTTTGGATAATTCAGTCCAGCCGTTGAAGCCACCCAGCCCAGGGGTACAGTTTTCATCCAGCCTGCTTTCGCTTTTGATGGTGCCAGAACTGCTCTCCTGAACCTGCAGTTGCTCTTCGTCTTCACTGCTGTCACTGCCCTGTATCAGCCCATAGCGCTTCATGTACTTCTTGGTTGCAAAAGACATATTGTTCGGTGAAATTAAGCTAAGACCCACCATGCTCCTGTCTGTATTTGTATGCAAGATGTCTTGGAAAGAGAAATCAACAGGTGGATTTTGGCCCGAGCGACTGAGAGAGAGTCGAGACAACTGATTCTCACTGAGGTACTTGAGGGCGATGGCATTTGCTTCCATGCTCAGGTCAACGACGTTAGAAGCCAAGCCGCACATGCTGACATTGGCCAACGACACGTAACTCAGCCCAGGAACCACTGCTTCAGGACTGATGCACGCCAAGATGCTGAAATAAAGTGTCAAAAAGTTAGTTTAGCATTGCAGGAAAAACAGGCTTTTCACAGGACAAGCTGATCGTTCCACCTTGCTCCCTGTGCTGATTTCTCCTTCCTTCTGAAGGCCACAGCTCCGCCAGGCTGCGCAGAGCCAAGGCCCCACCTACTGCACACATTACCCAGCAGCTCTCCAGCCACTCACCCCCACAGCATCCGCGTGCCGAGTTGGAGAACCGACGACATCTCTTCTGATCAACATGAACCACAGACCCTGGGCAAAGGGGAACCCACCTCTAGCAGGGTTCAGAGCTGGTTTTGTTCCTAAAGCAGCTCTGAGCTCTTGGTCTGTTCTCAGCAGTGAATGTGGCAGTACATGTTTGTGATCCTAAGGTTCTAGATGCTGCCACCAAACCCCAAATTTGTATCTAGACAGATAACACAAGCCAAAAGACTGAGACGAAGAACATCTCTTGCCCATTCCATCCCAATTCCAGGATTCTTACAGAAACTGACATAGTGTCAAGCTTGGAAGTTTCTAGTTTCTGAAGGCATTATTTAGTGAGGGAAATGTCCTTTCCTCCTGTTGCTCGGTACACCACACAACTGATACACAATTTCTTGTATACATTAGGTGTTTAGTTTGAAGACTGAAAGGACAAGCTCTGGTACACTGTTAGAGGCTGTAAACCAGTGCATTTAATGCACATGCCACACTGGTCCATAAACCCAAACTCCTTGTGTTGAGAGTTAAGCGTCTTCCCATCTCACTGAGCACACGTTCTGATGCTTGCTTAGGGAGAATAAACTCCAGGCTCAGACAGACAACCACTACTTATCCTACGGAGTTGCACTGTTGTTTCCTTCCCTACTGAGCTGCAGACCTTTTCTCAGAATTATTTATCAAAGATGGCAGTGGCAGAAGAGAGAATCCTATCCCGCTCCCCATGTTTGAAGAAAAAACCCAAGAATTCCAGTTTTCCCTTCTGGATTCACGTAGTGTATTATTGGCATAATAATAATTGCAGTGACAGACTCTCCAGCTAGGAGATAGCCACGAAATTCCAGAAAAATGCCTGATGAAATTCAAGTGAAAAGGAGGTAAAAGATCTTAGGAACTGTATGACTGGGAACAGCTTTTAATACACAGCTGAACAGAATATTACAAGATGGTTAAGATTTTTTTTTATTTACCTAACAGTTATATACTAGTGACAAGAAAAAAACAAGGATGAGAGCGTAACTGCACCAGGTAGCCAGCCTATGTAGCCCAAAGAGCTACATAGGGAGATTCCTGTGCCTTCAGAAAAGACTTCTGCTCCTTCTTCCACTTCATGGAGGCAGTTTCCCACCCCAGGCACTGCAGGCTCCCTGTTTCAGGTCAAAGCACTCACAATAGCAAGCGATTAGGACAGAACCAGTTTTGATTCTCTAGCAAAGCCATGAGAACAATTTCACTTATACTGGTGAAGTGCAAGACAAAGATTAAGAAGCAGTTACAAAATATACAGCTGCTCAACATTCAGCCTCCTAAGTCCTGTGCTTCTCTGGAATACTTAGAGCCCAAAGGATTGAAATTACTCAAGCAGTTTCATTATTATTCTAGGGAATTGTGTGCTACTGCATGCACAATACTTCAAGAATCACCAGATGCTCTAACAGCTAGAGCTACTTGTGTCATATTTAAATAATCTGAGTTTTGCCAGCAGAGCTCTTAAACCTATCAGAAATACCCACAGCACGAGTCAGTGTTTTATCTGCAGTAAATGTGGATCCAGTTGCCAAAAAAATCCCCTGCAGCCGTGAACACAGGCCTTTCCCTTTGCTCCTTGAGCCAGTCTTCATTTTTGGTTGGATCTACGTATTGCTACTCAAAACAACCAGTATTTTACCTGGCATTCTCCACTTTGTGTGTATTTTTCTTCATTTTGCCAGGTGAGTCAATTGTCACTCCAAGACTCTTCAGCTGTTTGAGTGTAGCACTGATCACACTCTCCTTATCCACCACTCCCATGTCACACTCTGAAGCCATTTCTGTTGCATCATCAACATCCTGATGATATTTAGGACCATCATCATTAACAATTCCCGATTTTACAGACAAGTGATCTTGCTCTTCTGAGGACTTTAAGAGGTGGTTTACTTGGCCCTACAGAAAAAGGGAGAAGGAGAGAGACCACACGGACAAAAATATCATGGCATGCACGAGCTGTCAAAACCCAAAATCTTGGTGTACTCTTATGCAACTTAATATACAGCTAGATGGGTTCACAACTTATTCTGACAAAAAAACCAAATTCAAAGTCAGTTCAGGTGCAATCAAGTAAACTCACAGCAGTGTAGTCAAACACTGGAATACCTTACATGTCAAGTTTTCTGTAAGAGACTGTTCTGAATTTAAAACACATCACCTACTGATACTTTTCAAGATTAAAGTATCTGCCCTTTAAGGGACTCAAATGTAAGATGCTGTGCTATTCTAGAGGGCACTAATTTGGGAAGTTATCAACTAACGTTATCTTTGAACTATGGAATTATTAGTTATTAGACAGTACTCCATGTATGCATGGAAGAGTGAAGTACAGAATAACTACTTCAGCCTTAAAAATTGAAGATCCTCAAACTTGGAACTTTTCTGTAAAGCCCAACACGTGAAGTCGAAAACCGCGCGCAATTTTCACTCTCGCCAACATCGCAGCACAACTTGGACTGCCACCTTCAGTGCAGAATATCAAGTTTATATGAATTACCAGTAAGTCCTGGTAAAGCTTCTGATCCTCTGATGGATGCCAAGGTGGTAAGGAGGCAGGTGGCTCCGAGTTTTGCTCACTGGTTACCACCACGTGGTTGTTGGCTCCCTCTGTTGGTTCTTTCTGCAGAGACACGCCGGCACTTTCTTCCAGTGATGAACTGCCAACAAGGGCTTGGGAAACATTTCCACTCCTGAAAGAGAATTCCGAGATAGCTAGGTATTTCCTTGAAACAGAAAAAGCACAAGTATGACTATGTGTACCTTAATTTCATATGAACACCAGCAGAGAAGAAAAATTGAGTACTGGAAACAGTTCCTAACATTCTCGGGTTTGTCTACTGCTTTTTGCTCCCTTCTTCTCTCAAAAGTCATTTGAGAACTGAGTATCATCCATATTTTCTGAAACATGACATTTAAAAAGGTGTTTTGGCCAAGGTGAGTAACTGATACTGAGATTCCTGTGGTAGTTTAAAAAGGCTTTCAGAACTTCCCAGAGACGTCGTTACAAGTACACGGGCACACACAACGCACACTGAGCATCACAAACTGACAACAAATGCCTCATTGAAATATTTCTCAATAGCAGATGTGAAAGAGGATCCATAATCTACCCTGAAGCTTCCAGATAAAAAGGGTAAATATCCTAGAATGAGTTACAATGCACGACAGAAACCTTTTGAGAGCAGACACATCAATAGTGCCATCATCCTGAGGAGATCCTGAAGCAGCACTCTTCCCGCTTCCTGCTCCTCCTCAGGAGTCAAGCCTAAGATAAGGGAATTTCAGAACTGAACTGATCAATGGCCTGGGTTAAAAGTGATAAGATTTAAATCACGTGGCATACTAGCTAGTCAATGTAGGTTATCAGTTACTCTTACGCTAGCAATTATTCATCGTCCCCAAAAACGTCCCCCTCTTCCTCAAAGAATTCTGTGTGGTGCTCTACATTCTCATTCTGCAGTACTTATACAGCTATTTTACAGGTTTATGAATTTAAGTTGAAGAGAGCCTTAAGACAGCATCTCTCTGAAATACAATCTTCAAAAGACTGATCGGAATCAGTAACATTGATGGTAGCAGTATATGTTTGCAGATAGTACCTTAATCAAGGACTATGAATATTTACATTACAGCTTAATTATCATCATTTTTCCCAACATAATTATTTTAGAAACCTATTTTAACTGGAAAGGTATTCCCCCTCATTTGGCTTTTTATACTTAGGGAATACTAGGTCATTAAAAGTACTAAATTGTAGAGCTACTCCTCGTGTAAAAATAACATCCACATAGGTAATAAAAATATTTTTGAAATTGCTTCCCAAATCAGTCTGAGATTAGTCATTGCACTGTAAGGAATCTGACCTTAAAGCTAATAAAAAGAACAGCAGTAAAGTAGGTACTTGCATTCAGTAAAAGTAATCAGATGTAAAACAGAGAGCAATTCAAGGAACATCGATAAAGCCATAAACCCCATGTCCTAAGCTCCCCAGAACTGCCAGGCTTCTGAATGCTGACAGCAAAAGCCACTGTAGGGCAATAACTGATGACAGCCGCAT